TCTGCATATTTGTATTTCAACAATGTAGCTAAAACTTGATGTAAATTCCTCCTTTTTTTTTTTTCCTTTTTTGGCTTAATGAATATCATTTATTCAGTATGAAATCTTTATACTATATGTTCCACGTGTTAAGAATAAATGTACATTAAATCTTGGTAAGACTTTTGTGAGGCTTTTTATTATCTTCAAATATGAAAAGATTGATCTTTTGTGGGAGAGTGGAAAGTACTAGTCCTGTTCTCAAAAACCTCCCTTAATGTGCTCTCCCCTCAGTGGTAGCCTCCTTGACCCTGTCATTTCTTTTCCATATTAAGCTTAAAAAACTCTGAGATACTTAGCCTGCAAGAAAAGTTCTGTGTATGAAAAGCATAATCAACGAATTGATAGTCTAGAAAATAAAAACTTTTGGAAATAGGTGGTAATGGGAGGATCTCTCTTTTTTTGAAAGTGTTAACTATAAAATAGCTATTTACCTTGAGGCAGCCTCTATCTCAATCACTTGTGTCTCCAGACTGGCTCTTTCCCCTGACTAGACTATTCAGAGCTGCTCTGACATCTCTGTTGGAAATTTAATTTGAACAAGTACAGGCTTACGTTCCTGTTTCTCCCACAGTTTTCTCAGTAAGTGGCAAGTCCAACCTCGCATTGCTTGGCCAAAAAAATCCTTGACTCATTTCCACATCCATTCTGTTAGCCCTCTTCAGAAAAATAATCCTCAATGCAGACATTACCACTATAGTTTGAGACACTGTCTTATCTTTCCTTAAGATTCCTTCCCATTCTTCATATAGCCACCAGAATGACCCCTTAAAAGTCACAGCAAACCCCGTTAGTGTTTATTTTATTATTTACTTGCTTACCTCGGTGGTACTGGGGTCTCATGCTTGCTAGGCAGGCACTCTACTACTTGAGCCACTCAGCCCTTTTTTTTTTTTTTTGTGGTACTGGGGCTTAAACTCAGGGCCTACATCTTGAGCTACTCCACAGCCCTTTTTTGTATTGGGTTTTTCGAGATGGGGTGTTGCAGAATCATCTGCCCAGGCTGGCTTTGAACCACCATCCTGATTTCTGCCTCCTGAGTAACTGGAGAGATCATAGATCACCTGGCCAGATCATAGTAATGTCAGTCACCTAACTGGCTACTACCTTTCTGGTACCATAGCTCATGCCCTCTGCTCACTCTACTACATAGGTAGGTCTGTTTCCTCCTTGGAGTCTTTGTATTTTCTGTTCCTTTTACACGGAATTCTCTTTCACCAGATAACTGCATAGCTCAAGTCCTCATGTTAGGTTTTTTCAGATGTCAGGTGGGACTGGGGGTATAGCTCAGTGGTAGAGCATATGCATATTAGCACACACGAAGCCCTGAGTTCAATTCCCAGCACCAAAAAATAAAGTAAGTCTTTCTCTGGCCACCTTATTTAAACTAGTAATCTCTGCTCTCAAGCCTTATTTCCCTTCTCTCCCTTACTTTTCTTATAGTACTTACTAGTATCTAGCTCATTATATTTTGTACTAACCTGTCATCTTCCACTGGAACATAAACTCTATGAAGGCAGGACGGTTTACACAATCCTACAGCAGTCCTGTGTCCAAGGTCAGTAAGCTGATTTGGCTCCCATATTACAGTTGGTCAAAAGTGCTGAGAAAAGTAAAAGGCTTGTCTAAATTCATATGTCAAGAAGGCCCACCTGACCTAGGCCCATGCTTTTCCCAGTATACCATATCATACTCTCCAGATAGAAGAACAAGAGGAACTAAATCTACCTGAGAAGTACAGCAAGCAAGATTTGTTTTTATGTAGCATGAGGAAAGAGTTTCAAGTGCTCATCATAAGAATAACTTAATATTTGGGTCAGAGACAGGGATGAATAATTAGTATATCTCAGAGACTCCTTTTCCAATCAAAATTCTTTCCTAGGACTCTTCTGGAAAAACCTAAATGGGAAGATTTTCATATCTACATTTTGGTAAGCAATATTGCTAATGGTTATTTTTGCTGTGAGTCTCTTAAGCTGTGTTTTCTAATCTAGAAAGAACATTTCTGAGCTGTGAGTGGAGCATTACCTAGGAGTTTGGTTTCCTGGGTTCCTTTCATCTGCTGTCCTGCAATGCAGGGGTTGCCTAGCCTGGTCTCCAGTTTCTGACTGGAGTTACCAAGGCCAAGAGAACTGCTAACCATTGAGCTGTAAGTAATTTGCTTTTGAGAAGTAAATAGAACCTTGCCAGTAGAGACCAGGGGTGTGGCCAGTAGTTCTTTTCCCAGGCTCCTCCCCCCTCCAAATGACCTTAACCTCCTTTCATAGCTGGACTGCAGCCAAGCCCAAACTAAACAATGCTCTCAACCTCATTGGCTCTTTTGCCTCACAGCCACTGCCACCCCCAAGTGGCTAAGGCCTTCCCACCAGGCCTCTCAGTGGAGTCAAGGTTTCCTAACTACTGAAAGAAGAGTGAAAAGTGTTGGTGGGCTTTGAAGCACCTGTATTTAGTTCCTGCAAATGGAGGCGGGGAAGGGTCTTTGACCAGGGGTGAATGAACATCTTTAAGTGACCCAACAGAGGTCAAGAAAACATGCTTTTGGTAACTGTCCAAGACCTAATTGGTGTCACTCCAGATTTCAGGATGGATGTCACCAGCATCTTTGGAAACTTCCAATGGATGCCTTTTTGTCTACAGTGAAAAGAAGTAGCATAAAGTTCTGGTAAGGCATTAACCTAGCCAGCCTGCTAACAAGTGAGAGTGAGGAATCACGCCAGTGTGGTAACTTTTGCTCCATAATGACCCCAGATCAGGGTCAGCTACTCCAACTCTGTAAGATAGGGGCTGGAAACTGAACTACAGAGAATAGATATATCCATTGGGCTTTTCCTTCACCCAGCCTGAAGGCAAGGCTGTCTCCAGATGTGGAGGCAGGAGCAAGGCAAGGCTGCTACAAAGAGTACTAATATTGCAGGGAGGTGAGTGCTTCTCACATGAGAACTACCTAATTTCTCTACCAGTTCAGTGGGAAAATTGCTCACACTTTTGTTCATGGAATTATAACAGCCCTTTTTTACTGAGCACTTTATGCCATGCACCATAAATCCTGTGAGGACAAGTACTGTGTCCATCTTGCTCAGCGATGCATCCTTATCCCCTGTCATATGATAGGCATTCCTATATCACTGAATAAACCAAACAGGTAAAATAGGAATTTGGTGGAAGAAAGAGGAGGTAGGAGCTATTAAGACTTGGTGTGCCCTACATAGGATTCTTAGCACAACCTACAAAGCCTAGTTCCCTCACCTATAAAATACAGATTACAGGTTAAATTGATTTTTTTCATCAAATCTTTATTGAAGATACACAATGTACAAGGCACTGGGTTTTTTGTTTGTTTTGTAGTGCTAGGGATCAAACTTAGGGCAAGTGCTCTATCACTGAGCTAGTTATATGCCCTGCCCAAGGCACCATTCCAAGCCAAGAATACATTGGTGAGTGAGGCCCCTGCTTTTCCATTCTATTCATCTTACATTCCAGGAGAGGGAAGTAGACAATGAAGCAAATAAAAGTTTCCAGACCAGGATAAGTAGGTGGTGTTAAGTGCTATGAAGAAAGTAGAAGAGGGGATGGGACACTACAGTGTAGTAGTTGTGGCTGGGTAGTGGGGGGTGGGGGGGGTGGGGAAAACAGGACCTCTTTGAGCAGGTGACCTCTCCGAATATAGTAGCCTGAGCAAAGAGTGGTCTGGAGGGCTGTGGGCATGGCTCAAGTGGTAGAGCACCTGCTCAGTAAGCATGGGGCCCAAATCCCAGTTATCACCAAAAGAAAAAAAAAAGGTAATCTGGTGGTAGTGTTTCAAACAGAGGAAAGAGCAAGAGCACAGTCAGGCAAGTTCAAGGAACAGAAATGATGTAACCCTCTTGAATTCTAGGATTCTAGAAATAGTGATGCATGCCATTGTTCAGGTTAGGAATTTGTGCTAAACTGTTTTCTTGGTGATGTGCAATATTTGCTTCTTAACAGAAGTGTCTGGGAGGTGTAGAGCCTTTCTGGAGCCCTGGGATATGGCTGTCTCACTTGCTTTGCACAGTTCTGATAGCTCAGCTGGGCTCCCTGTGCTGATGCAGGCTCCATTTTAGCTGCAGACTGTAAAAACAGACTAAAGAGAGCTTTCTCCTTCACCTCTTATTCACAGCCTTGGAGTCCCAGAACCCTCTACCATTCCACCCTGCCACCTTCCAATCTGAAAAGCCAGGGAGCTCCAGCTTAGCAAATTCACCTTCCTTGTTTTCCTGCTTTTACTGTCGGAGCAGGGGCCAGAAAATGAAACAGGAAACAGAGCGGAAGAGGAGGGGGTTGGGTAGCTGGGAAGGAAAGGAAAGAGAAATTGCAGGAAAGTGGAGCTGAAGGTCTGGACAAAGTTCTACCTCTAAAGGGTGATAGCTGGGCTTTTAGAAAATATTCTCAATTGTCAAAATAGACCCCCTGGCCTTTTTACAAATAAGATTTGCGAGAGAATGTGGTGTGAACTGACAGATCCCTGAGAATGCCTATCTTTTTGCCCTCGTGAATTCACAGAGCAAGGACAGTTCATTTCTGTTTTGTCTTTGTAAAGTGTTGCTTGGAGTCTCATGGGCTTCTAGAGATTCAAGTCACAACCTTGGGCTGCACTCACAAGTGTGCCCGGAGGCTTTGCCATTTCACTCACAGGCCTCTGGAGCTGAGGAAAATGTGTGCCACTGAAAAGGCTGGGGAAGTGGCCTTCTAAACTCCATTTTTTCCTCCTTTTCCACCACATGACCATTAAAATGTTCCATGCACTACCTTACACACAACTATGGGGGGCGGGGGGCACGTGGTACACTTTAGGTCTCAGGATCTAAGTGAGTTATAAAGAATCAGATGTGGTTCCGGACACGCAGAGAGCTGCCGTGCGCAAGTTTTCTTTGCCTGGAAAGATAGCAACCATCAATTTGTTCCCACCCACATTAGTGGCTGTTGCAAAAGATAAACCCCTCCCTCAGCCAGGGCTGTGGCCAGAGGCAACCCAGACCCTTAGCTGCATTTGGAGGGCAGATAACTGAAACCACAGAAGGCTTTCGAATCCTGAGAAACAAGAAATCCACCAACGGAGAAGGATTTATTATCTGTTTCCTTTAAGGAGGGTGCAGAGTTGTTCTAACAGTTTCCGTTACAGGGTTGCCCACTGGCCGCACCTCCCTAACAGACGGTTTTGTTGAGTTAGCTTCCTTTTTTCTTCTTTTTTGGCCCCACTTCCTACGACAGAAACTGCTTGAAGTGAGAGAAGACAAAAGAGTCCTGGGGGGGCAGGGGTCCTTCATCCTCTGAGGACTAAAGCAGGAACGAGGTCCCCGGTAGCCAGAGGAAGGGAAAGTCAAGGGGGATCCCCCACTTTCTTCACACCCAGGACGCAGGATGCCGCTGCTTGCCACAGAAACCCCAACAAGGCTTCTCTTTGACTATTCAGAGAGTATCTATTGTGTATCAGGTCCTGTGCTGAGCTGTTGTTGCCTGACTGGAGGGCAAGCACGGGTCTGGCTTCTGTGAGGAAGCCGCAGGGCAGCCCCCAACTACGAGCCTCCGCCCACACATGGGGAACGCTGAACGCTTGTGGGATGGAACTAGGGCAAGAGCACAGATCCTGACACAGCAGCCCGGGCGCAATAACTGAAGGTGGAGGAGGGCAAAGTGCGAGAGGTAACTCTTCAGGTGTCACCAAGGCGGGAAGGTGTTACACAGAGCGGCGCGGAGCAGTGCTCTCTACCCGGCTCGCCAGGAGTCAATATGGCTGCCGCGGAGGGAGGCGTAGCAGCTCCAAGTTCGGGCAGGAGCGGGGCGGGGCCGCCGTCAGCGGAGACAACGCGCAGGCGCAGGACGCTTGGGCCCCGGATGGAGGTACTTTGGTTCGGGCCCCGTCGGGGAGGTTCAGAGGGGCGAGTGCAGAGCACCCCGCTCCAGCTCTGGAGCACTGGAGTTCTGGGTAGAAGAAGGCTGTCAAACTGAGGCCGAGAGAAATGAGGCGAAGGCTGAGGAGAAGAGCGGGACCCCGCCCCTCCGCCATAGCAGCCTCCGGCGCCGCCTCTTCCTTTATAGGCTCCCGCCCTCTTCTGCTTCCAGCTTGTGGCCTATTCGGGCCCTGCTGGCTCCCTCGGGGCTAACCTTTAGGCTGTGACTCCTTCGGGGCGAGGGTCGATGCCCCGTCCCCGGTAGGGACTGTGTCCGAAAGGAGCAGGGCAAAACGGGCTCCGGGCATGACGGGGGTGGCAGAAGGCGACTCTGTCTCGGGACGGCCCGCGAGGCCTTTGGTCCTGAGTCAGAGCGACTTCATCCCACCAAGGATATCAGCCCTACCCAGAGGGTCCAGGGCTCCAGTTAAACAGGCTTTCCCAAATTCTCAGACAGGGCCCACCTTCGGTAAGCATAGCAGAAAGAGCATGCGCTATGTTTGGAGGAAGTCCCGGACTAGGCGTTGGAGACCTGGGTTATAATCCTGATTTGGGAAGAGGTTTCAGAAGCGAAGAATATTAAACTCTAAGTAGTCTTGGGTGTGTCACTTGGCCTCAGTGGGCCTCAGTTTTCACATCCATAAAATGGCGATGGTAATTATACTAGCTCACAGTGTCTAATGAGATCTCTGCAGCTATTTATCTCATGGGAAAATAAAGGAGTGAAACTAGTTGATCCGTAAGCACCCCAGTAGGTAAAAGAGTCTGTGACTTGGCAAGGGGTTTGATGGGGAGTGAGGTTGGCAAGTAGCTAGAGAGAGAGTTGACTGGCTTTCTTTTGCTTTTACTACTACAAGTGTGGGCAACAAATCTGTTCGCTGAGACTAGAGCTTGACTCTGCAAAGAGGAAAGGAAGAATGCAAGTCTGGTCAAGATGCAGAGGTGGGTTAAGTGCTTTTGTGTTCCCAGCCTCTCTCCTGCATGTGGGTGGGAAGCCAAATAAAGAAAAAAAGTGAATTCACCCTAGTACAGAGGAGTGTGAAGTTGGGTGTGTGTGTTTCTGTGATTTCTCCCAATTTAGCGAGTCAGATGTTGGAGATACTGAATAGATTCATAAAATACCATTGCTCTCTGGGGTTTTCAGAAACTTGCCTTTAAACTGAATTTTCATGAGCAAACCGGTGTGGATTGGGGGCCCCTTCTCTTCCTCCTGGCCTCCTAGTGATGGACACAGGGCGCCCTCTTGTGCCAAGGAAAGGGTACTGTCAGTCTTGTTCCTTTTCTGGAAAAATACTACTTTTCTGTGGCTTCTTTGACTTTGTCATCTTACTCTTATGATGAGAAGAATATTTGAGTGACTTTATATCTAGAATCAGCGAACTGGTGATGCTGTATCCTGTCCCTCATTCATAACACAATGAGGAGCTTAAATGCTTATTTATATGCTAGGCTCTGGGGAAATGGTTGTGTTATAAAACCTGTGTCCTTACAAGCAACCTAAATAAGCAACAGCAATAGAGATGACAAAACAGGGGGCAGTAAGAGTATAGTCTATTGAGAATCAGAGCATTCCAGAAATAAGTAAAACCTTAAAGGTTTGGTAGATGCTAACCCAGCTAAGGGAAGAAAGAAGACTGTTCAGCCGTTTTTTAAAATATCTTAACTTAAATACTTCTTTTTTTTTCATTTTAGGCATAGTCCTTCACCCAAATTCTGATGTTATTGCCCTCCTTTCTGATTTCCCAGGCTGATGTTTGAAAGTTCTATAGGAGCCATTGCTAACTTTTAACCTAAGGAATTATAAAGTAATACTTAAAAGTGCATTCCTTGCCTCAGAACAGCTTTGAATTGTTTATACATTGCTTCCACTCCAATAGAGATGGGAAATAACAGTTTTCTTCATCCCTAGTAGTAGATTCTGTCTTCCTTCTAAGTTTGTTTTAGCAATGGGAGCTGGCTGAAGTCCTGCTGAGTGGTGGTTTTCTTTTCCTTCTCCACTTAATTTAACAGACCAGCTGAACACACATCAGAGCGCTAAGCTGGCCTGTGTAGTCATTATGGGCTTTTAGTATGGTTCCGTATCCCACTTTTGGGACTCTGGTTTGGGAGCTAGTTTATTATTCTGGGCAAGAGGGAAAGGGCACACACCAAATAATAGCAACCACAATGTAGACTTGTGTAGCACTTCACACATTAGACCATTTCAGCATGACAAGTTTGTGAAGAGAGTCTGATTCCATTTTATGCATAAAAAAATGAGGCTCAGAGGAACTAAATGAGAACATGAAAGTGAGATTCAGGTCTTGAACCCAGATCTTCAGTTCTTACATGGGAGCACTCAGTAGATTCTTACAGGTTTTCTGTGAACTTAGCTTTCCGAACTTCATGCTTATCTGTATGGAACTTGTTCAGTGGGAATACAGTGCTTCAGGGTGATACCCTGTGGTGCCATCTGCCTTCAAGATGCTCTTCCTTCTGGGAAGTAAGGTGGTTACGTTTGCCATAGTAATGCTGAAGAAGGAGGTTCCTATAAAGAATGTTTTCAGTAATTTGCTTTCAACCTATGTGTGATGTTTTCCTCCTTGATTTTTGGAGTTTAGAAGCCTGAGGAAGCTCAGTCCTAATAGCGAATCACCCGGATTCCTGGTGAGGGAAGGATGTGGCCCCTGGATCCATCCCGAAAAGAGGTGCTGAGGTTTGCAGTCATCTGCCGTGTCCTGACTCTGATGCTACAGGTAGTCTCTGGTCCTTTGTTCTGAACATGCCATTCCTACCCGCCTGGGCTAGACATGAAGAATAGTTCACATCTCTCCACTTCTCACATGTGCCTCTCCATATGATTGGAACCATAGCGACATAGACTTTATAGCTAAAACGTGAGCAGGAATCATAGAAACAGTATTAATCCCCTATTTTACACATGAAGCAACACAGGCCCAGAAAGGCTAAATTATTTCCCCAAAGCTACATGGCAAGGTAGAGAAGGGGCAGCATTAGACCCCAGGTTTCCTACCTCCCAAGCTAGTGGTCTTTCCAACAGACCGTAATTATTTAATGGCATTTCCAACAGACGGGGATGCTTTTTGTGTGTGACAACTAAAGTATTGCCCGGGTGCCCTTACCAGGAGACTGAACACTGTGTTAGTCGGCTAAGTAGGAGAGAGGAGGCACTAAATAAGTCCTGAGACCATCTTGTACATTCATTCATCAGTAATGGCTCCTCCTCTTCCCCCAAATGTCTGGCCTTGCTGCTTCACCCACTCACCATTCTCAGGGCAGTGTCCTTTTGCAACTCCCTTATTCTTGTGGCTGCCCTTGATACATGTTTTCAGATTTATGTATGTATATATATTCAGTGCCTAGCACAGTACCCAGTGCTTACTTAGTAGGGCCTCAGTATATATTCATAAATGAGTAAATGTTGTTGAATGTATATCAACACCCTAGAGATGTTATATTAGCAAAATTATGCGTGCCTTTTTATTTTTTTTTTTTTCACCAGTTTCATTCTGTCTGAGGTATCTTGCTGGTTCCTTGTTGAAACCTGCTTTCCTCTCTTCCCCCACTATATGGTGCATAGCAGCCTCTGATTGGTTCCAACGTTTAGTTAGTGTCTTCAATTTAGAGACTAGGGCTGTTATCTGTGACCGTCATTCCTGTCCCAATTGTTTTCACTGTTTGAAGTTGCCTGATAAGGAAACTGACAGAAAGAGAAAGAGCTTTAAATATGAGGCTATGCTGGCCAGGTGCAGTGGCACACTGTAATCCCAGGTACTCAGGAGGCAGAGATCAGGAGAAACTTGGCTCAACTTGGTTCAAGACTAACTTGCACAAGTTAGTGTGACCCCATCCCAACAAACAAACCAGGTGTGGTGGCATGAATCTGTGGTACCAGCTACGTGGGAGGCATAGGTAGGAGGATTTTGGTATGAGGCAAAAACTCAAGACCCTACCTGAAAAATAACTGAAGCAAAAAGAGCTGGGGCTCTTTAAGCTGTGGCTTAAGTGGTAGAGTGCCTGCCTACCAAGTATAAGGACCTGAGTTTAAGCCTCAGTACCAGTAAAAAAAAAAAAAAAAAAAAAAAAAGTGTTCGTAGGGGGCTATGCTCCTATTGCCAGGCTATGCAGATTGCTCTGAAGCAGCGTGAGCTGAGCTATTGACAGAGCCAAAGGAACCATGCAGATCAGCACCTGGGATAGGGAACCAGGGCAGCTGGACTCTCATTCAGTGTGCAATTTTGGAAACAGTGTATTTCTTCAAGCTCTTGATGTTCATTCAACCACCAGCGCTATTCTAAGTACCCATTCCAAGAACTGTGCTAGGTAGTGTGTGTAAAAGGTCATGTTTTCTGTTACATAGCTTGCAATCTAATGTGGCACAAAGACATTTAACATATGTCCATAAATGCTTTATCATTCCTCCTTCTTCCCCACTACTTCAGCCTTAAAGCTCATGCCATCAGATATATGCCTAGCTTCGTCTCCATCAATGACAGTTATTTACTGAAAGTTGCCTGGTTCTCTGTCACTCTTTCTGATACCTTTGTGGTTTCAATATTAACAAAGATAATACATGCAACACCCTTGTCTCTCACTCCCTTGTCTGATGATCTTGTCCTTACCATCCAGTAATGCCCTGTATCCAAAACTCTTGCCCAATAATATCAATTTTAAGCATCGCATTTTCTGACCACTGTGTCCTCTCTTTGAAGTTCCCTCATATTATCCTAACTCTAATAGTTCTTCCATACTCTCAGGGTGGAATCCAATTATCCTATCATTATTTCACTGCTCCTCACCCACCTTGTGATTTCTTACCTAGCTAAGAGTCCATGGTCCATCACGATAATCAGTCCCACTCAGCTTTCTTGCTCCTCTCTCCCTATGTTTGTTCGTTTGTTTGTTTTTGCAGACTTGGGTTTGAACTCAGAGCCTACACCTTGAGCCATTCCACCAGCTCTTTTTTGTGATGAGTTTTTTCTGAGATAGGGTCTTGTGAACTATTTTGCCTGGTCTGGCTTGGAACCAATATTTTCCTGATCTCTGCCTCCTGAGTAGATAGGATTATAGACATAAGCCACCAGCACCAACCTTCTGTTTTGTTTTCTGTGGGACTGGGATTTGAACTCAAGGCTTTACACTTGCTAGGCAGGTGCTCTACCACTTGAGCCATGCATCCAGCCTTCTCCCTGTGTTTTATTCACAAGACAAAAGTCCAACATTGGTTAAATCCAATTTTCTGCCTCCTTCATGCTTGTGGCTAACCAGAGAAAAACACACAACTGTAGAAAGTAGTCTTTTTTTTTTTTGTACGAGAGCTTGAACTCAGGGTCTACACCTTGAGCCACTCTACCAGCCCTATTTTTGTAATTTTTTTTTTTTTTTTCCCAGAGATAGGTCTCATGTACTAATTGCCCAGACTGGCTTCAAACTGCGATCCTCTTGATTTCTGCCTCTCAAGTAGCTAGGGTTACAGCTACTACTGGCACCTGCAGTACTTTTTTTTTAATTCCCTATGTGATTCCAGTGCACAACCTATTTTGAGAATCAAGGTCATAGGTAACTTATTTTACATTTTCTTCTTTCTCTAACAAATCTCTAACAATTTTCTCCCAGTACTTCTAATTGATAACTTGCTTTTCTGAATGAAAAGTCAGGAAAATTGAAGGCATCAAAAGAGATCTTCCACATGGCTTCCACCATATCTGTCAACCTACCTGTATCTGCCTGTGTGCCTTCATTACTGAAGGTGGGAGGGACTGCCTCCTCTTCTGTAGGGCTAGCTCTGCCACCTGTCTTACAGATTCCATCCCCTATTGTTTGCCCAGCTATTACTCAATGGTTTCCTTTTCACTAGATTACTCCCAGTGACATACAAACATTTATTTCCCACCATAACAAAATTTTGTTTTCTTTACTCCATATTGTTGTATACTTTCTACCCCATTTCTCTGCTCTCTTTTACAGCAAAGCTCAGAATCATCGTCTGAAGGTTTGGAATACAGTTCTGTGGTAGAGTTTAGCATGCTGAAGGCCCTAGGTTCAATCCCCAGCACTGCAAAAACAAAATGTCTATATGCATTTCCCTTTTCTCTTCCTTCAACCCAGGCTAAGAGGCTTCTCTCTCCTCCACTCCATTGAAATAGCTCTTGTCAAAGTCATGACTATTGACATTCACATTGAGTCCAGTGGTCAGTTTTCAGTCCCCATCTCACTTGACCTGCCAACAGCATTTAACAGAGTTGCTCACTCTTGATCTTCACTTGGTTCTAAGACACTGTGCCTTCCTGCCCCTGCCCCAACCTCACTGACTGTCCCTTTTTTATTTTCATGCTGGATCCTCACCTCCTTTCTAGCCTCTAATGTTGATGTATCCAGGGCTCTGTCTTTAGATCTCATCTTTTCTCTACCTACACCTTCCCCTTATGAAATCTCCTTCAGTCTCATACCTGTAAATACCATCCTTACACTGAATCTCTCTTCTTACTTGCACAATTATACATCTCACACCTGGTTGACTTTTTGCATTACAGTGTCCAACTTAGACTTAGCTAAAACTGAGCTTCTGATACTGCCCCAATAAGTCTGTTCTTCATTTATTAAGTGGTAATTCTTTTCTTTCAGTCACTCAACCAAAATCCTGGTTCTCCTTCATCCCACAGGCCCTCTTCAATGCCATCATTCCAGATCACCATGCAGAAGCCTTTTCTCCTCCCCGCCTGACCCTCTCTGGCTCTGTGGACCAGCTTGTGGAAGGTCTTCTGGGTGGCCTCTCTCGCTGGGATGCTGAACACTTCCTGTTCATTGCGGAGCATGGCTACCTCTATGAGCACAACTTTGCCTTCTTCCCTGGCTTCCCTTTGGCCTTACGGGTGGGGACTGAACTGTTGAGACCCTTGCAGGGCCTACTAAGCCAACGGAGCTGCTTGCTGATTTCAGTAGCATTGCTCAACTCCTTGTTCTCCGTGCTGGCCACAGTTGCGCTTCATGACTTGGGGTGTCTGGTTTTGCACTGTCCCAGCCAAGCCTTTTATGCAGCACTGCTCTTCTGCCTCAGCCCTGCCAATGTTTTCCTGGCAGCTGGTTACTCAGAAGCTTTGTTTGCCTTCCTGACATTCAGTGCCATGGGGCAGCTGGAAAGGGGCCGAGGCTGGACTAGTGGGCTCCTCTTTGCTCTTGCCACTGGGGTACGCTCCAATGGGTTGGTCAGTATCGGCTTTCTCCTGCATTCCCAGTGCCGAGGATTTTTCCGTTCTCTTGTAGTGCTGAACCCCCTGAGACAGCTCTTTAAACTGCTAGCCTCTCTGTGCTTGTCAGTGCTCACACTCAGCCTTCCCTTTGCCCTCTTTCAGTATTATGCCTACACCCAGTTCTGTCTACCAGGCTCAGCCCACTCCATTCCTGAGCCCTTGATGCAATTGGCTCTGGACAAGGGTTACCGGATCACAGATGGAAATCTGCCGCCATGGTGCTCCTGGGACCTTCCTCTAATATACAGCTATATCCAGGATGTCTACTGGAATGTTGGCTTTCTGAGATACTATGAGTTCAGGCAGGTGCCTAATTTTCTACTGGCTGCACCTGTGGCTATCCTGGTTTCCTGGGCAACCTGGACATACATGACCACCCACCCTTGGCTCTGCCTTACCCTTGGATTGCTAAGGATCAAGGACAGTAAGACTGTCGAGAAGCCCCCTCAGGGCTTTCTCAGTCCACAGGTGTTTGTGTATCTGGTCCATGCTGCAGTGCTGCTGCTGTTTGGAGGTCTGTGCATGCATGTTCAGGTGAGGTGGATTTCTGCCTAGATTAAGAATGTGAATACTGGCAAAACCCCAAGGACAGAGAAAACAAGTAACTTTTTCCATTTGAGTGATCTGTACCTAATTTACTCTTTCAACAAGTATTTGGGGGTTTTCGTTCTGTCAGACCCTGGGTCAGACTTCTGAGGATAGAATACAATAAGTAAGGTAAAATTACTGCCTTAGTGAGCCTTGTGGTATAAACAGGGAAATACACATTCAACAGATAAAAATTACAGTACAGTGATGGAAGGTTTGCCATTTTGAGATTAAGATAAAGTACTCAGTGCAGAGTATTAGCCTAACATGTAAGAGAGAGCCTAGGTTCAGTCCCCAGCATGGGTGGGAGGGGGTTATGAAAGCAAAGAAGTAGTGACTAACTCAGTGAAGTAATTGAGGAAGGCATCATATTGAAGGTGGGTCCTGAAGAGTAAGAAGGAATTCTTCATATAAGAAGCAGAGAAGCAGAGCTGGCACAGTGGCTCAGGTGTGGCTCAAGTGGTAGAATGCCTGCTTAGCAAGCATGAAGCCCTGAGTTCAAACCTCAGTACCACCCAAAAAAGAAAAAGGAACATTCTAGTTATGAAATGACCTGATTCAACAGAAGTGTAGGAACAAGCATTGAGGATATCTCGGAGGACCTTCCCCTAATATACAGGTCTACTCATGTTAGCTTCTGAAGTTTCTCTGAGCTCAGGCAGGTGCTATTTTCAGAAGAGATACCTTATCTAGTATTTGTGGGTGGTGGTGACAATACAAAGGATTAGAAGGGGTTTGATCTCATGTTTGACTTTTTGTTCTTAGCCATGGCTCCAGTTTTAACATCTCCCAAGTAAGTCTTTTGACTCCATACTGACCTGTCCCCCTAGACATGGTCTGTCTCTTGGAGGCCTGTGTTGGCTGTTTGTGAAGTTCTCTGAGCTATGTGGATAATAGGCACAGGAGAAATAGAAAGTAGCATTCTGTTTGTGACTAGATTAGCTAGTAGAGTGAGTGCCAACCAGGCTCAGAGTTTCCAGGTTGGGTGAGGTTGGCCATTTGGCGACTTGGTTCTTAACTCCTCTAAGAGTGAGAAGGTTAGAAAGAGAGCCTTCTTAGGTTTCCAAGCTCCGAGTTATAGTTTCGAGTCCCTGGCCCTGGGCTAACATTAGACCCCAGAGAGTTTTCAGTATTCATTGGCCACTTGTGTGATTAGCCGGAGACTATGTTTATTTGTAACCTGGAGCTTGCCTTAGTGGTGTCACACACATCTTTAAATCTTTATGGTTTTTTTGAGGGAAGGAGTGTTACTGTGGTTTGAACTCAGCCTCTCAGGGTTCTCTTTTGCTAGGCAGGTGCTCTGCTACTTGAGCCACACCTCCAGCTGTCACACATACCTTAAAAGACAGATCCTCACTTGTGCTAAATTGCTTTTCCAGTGCAATGTGTTTTTAGTCATGGGGCCATAGTTCACCCAACAACAGAGAAGCCCCCAGGCTGTCCCAGCTTGGGTCACTGACATCCCAATAAATATGTGGGTGTTTCCTCTCATGATTTCTAGGTTCTCACCAGATTTTTGGGCTCTTCCACTCCTGTTGTATACTGGTTTCCAGCTCACTTGCTTCAGGATCAAGAGCCACTGCTGAGATCTCTAGAGATGGTGTCTTGGAAGCCTGGTGCAGAGGACTTCCCACCAGGACAAAAAGTCCCCAGAAATTCTATCATGGGACTCTTATACAACTGGAAAACCTGCTCTCCAGTCACACGATATATTCTAGGTTACTTCCTGACTTACTGGCTCCTGGGACTACTTCTACATTGCAACTTCCTGCCTTGGACATGACCTGGAATCTCAAGAGACAAGCTGGAAGCCAACTTACCCAGACTCAGAAAATTAAAAGACACACTGATACTACCTGCCCTGAGATCATTATTCTACCTAGCTCTCTCTCTCCCTCTCTCTCTCCCTCCTTCCCTCTCTCTCTCTCTCTCTCTCTGTCTCTCTCTGTGGAGGTTGGTTAGGAATGGGAGAAACAGGAGCCACTAAAGAGCCACTTCTGGTCCTGACTGAGACAAGAGCTGGTGACAGTCTACACAAGATAGTGCAAGCCTGTATAGTGTGGTGGTAGTAGGAAAGTAGGATCATGTTCTCTTAAGTGGAACATTGTTTCAGAAGGTTTTTTCCATGATTTACAGATTTGCTTATATGAAAAAATCTTACAAAGATAAGAAAATTAATTAACTTTTAGTTATACCTGTAATGAATTACTTTTTTTTTTTTTTTTTTTTTGGTGGGACTAGGGTTTGAACTCAGGGCTTCACACTTGGAGAGCAGGCTCCCTACCAACTTGAACCACACCTCCAGTCTATGAATTACTTTCTACAAATCACTGGGGAGTTGCAGCCCTACATCACACTAGATCTCATCATCCACAGCATGAAAAAATTGATAATAATAAAAATGATTTGGACAAAAGAGTAAGAATGTGGCTGGAGCCCTGGATCCTAGACCTCTCAGTAAAACTCCATTTATCAGCTGTGGCCACACACCTTGAGCTGATTTCAGAGCCTTAGTTATGTCCTCTGAAACTAGAGAACATGCTGTTATTCCTTACAGGGTAGTTTTAAGTCCTTTTTAGCTCTTAAGATCTTGAGGGCCTCCTTAAACAGAATCATCCCAGTCTAGACACTTCTTTAGAGGCTCAAACATGTAATTTTAGAAGAAAATGTCTCCATTTCTCTTCCTTTCAGTGATTAGAAGAAATTCCTCTACCCCTTGGTACAACACTGAGGAGTAACTGACAAGGGAAGTCAGTGAATATAAAGTGCCTTGCACTGGCAAGGTAACCTTTGGTGACAGGTTTTCCCTGCCCTTCTCAAGTGCCCATGCTTGCTTGGTTGATAGATACGGGTTAGAGGACCTAACACAGCATCATGGATGGGAAAATGTAGGTTAATTCCGAGGTTGCCTAAAATGATATCTGCCCTGCTTCCTAGTGCGCATTTGATGGTGAGCCTATCACTAATGGTAGCATGATCACTGACCCTGCTGGGCAATTTTTGCTCATTCCTTAAGCCAGGTAAGAGTGGCTCTGTATCATCATGCCTCTTACTCCCCATTTGAGCCAAAAATTCCAATACGCAGTCTTCAAAACAGATGGGTAATCGGCAGCAGCTTCTGGAGAGCCTGAGAGTTGGAATTTGGACACACTCCCTCTGACCGTGACAGAAAGCTCAACTTGCCAACTGAAGGGAAGCTCCTGGCTGAGGCCCAGTACCCTCTGTGGGAGCCTCTGGCCAGCCTGGCCAATGAACATTCCACCCACTGCTGAAACACAAGCACAGCCAAGCATTTGGTCCAGAGTCAAATGCTTCTGAAAATGTACACACATCAGGGCAGCCGTCTGCCTTCCGCCAAGACACCGACTGCCCTTCTTGGCAAAAGATGATCACCCTTCCCTAGTGTCCCTCCAGCTGGCAGAAACTGCCCTTTCTCCTCAACAGCTGAAATCCAGGGATTTCCAGTCCGTGTGCAGAAGGACCTGGAGTCCTGTCCCAGCTCTCTATTCTTCGCGCTTGGCTTCTTTTTGCCTCATTTTGGGGGATTATCAAGACTGATTGTCCCCTGCTGGTAGAGGTGACTCACACTCCACAGGATTGGTAGGATTTCACTACCCTGGCAGTCTCAGTGTAACCATCACATTAGATCTCATCACCCCCAGGAATCCTACACTGAAGGAACCCAGCTATGTGGACACACCTGGTGCAACTGGAGAAGACTGCAGTTCCCTCTGACCTTGGAAGGAGGTATAGTTGCTGTTCTTTAAGGATCTAAGGGATGGGCTGACTTTATGGCCAGCAGCTGTCCTTTTATCATCCCATTAACAGTTTTTAATAGTCTGGGAGAGGGACATGAAGGGCCCACGGCAGGAAGCTTCCTGTTTACCCTGAAGTCTAACAATGCCGCAGCTGGGTTGGGCGTCTACAATTTCGGAGAAAAGTCATTTCCTTCTGAGACCCTGCTAAAACAGAAACCAGACACTTCATATACCTAGAAGTAGATGCCTTTTTGTTCTTTAATGAGGGTGGAAGGAGAGGGAGGGTTTGACATGTCTTTACCAGTAGTCCCCCTGGAAAAAAAGTCACTTCTTTTCCTCAACAGAACCTCTTGCCTTCATCTAAAAATGTAATGTACAGGCTCAAGAGACTTTAAATTGCTTGAATCTTTCAGCAGTTGTTTATTAACACCTATTTTAGAGGACTAAAGAAGACTCAGCTATGCCTCCTGTCCTCAACTAATGAGTTGCTAGCCGATACACAGAAGCATTAATTAAGGTAGAAAGTGGTAAAATCTGTAGAGTAAAAGGACACTTGAACTTGTTGCTATCTCTCTACTTGAATTTTTTACGATGAGGATGAATTAAAGTTTTGTTTTTTGCGGTTTGGGGTTTGAACTCAGGGCCTCATACTTGCTAAGCAGGCACTCTACCACTTGAGCCATTCCACCAGTCCTTAAACTGCACCATTTTATATGAGGATTTTTTGCTTCCTCAAGAATCCTGGAACCAGACTGAAGGTATGTAGAATACCTGCCTGCGAGTGCAAAGCCCTGAGCTCGAACCCCAGTATCACCAATGGTGACCACATTGAAGCCATGTGAAATAGTAAATAGGAAGGCTATACTCTTAACCTGACTTGTTTTTGAGACAGGGTCTCATTATATAGCCCCCACTGGCCTTGAATTCATGATCCTCCTGCCTCAGCCTTCTGAGTGCTGAGATTACTGATAAGCAACACCGTGCCCAGCTTAACCTGATATTTGTCTTAGATATGATCACATCTTTCAACTCATGTTTTTCAAAACCTTGTCAATCTTACCTTACACTATTTGTTGTCTAGGAGCAGCTTTTCCAACCCTGAGAGGCCTTTGATGTCTAGACTTTTCTCTTGTTTCCCAATACCACCGCCACCTATATTAGAAAACCAGCTAATTTTCACTTAGCTCATCTCTGCTTTGGAATGCTTTATAACCTTGCTGGTTATTAAGTTTTTGTTTCTAAACTCCAACCTTATACTTCTATTCTCTGCTGTGAGTTACTGGAGGTGGTGCACTGCAAATCACCTTTCAGCGTTTAGCGGGCCCTGCATTTGGCTCTGCCAATAGGGGCCACTAGAGGGAGGTAGTGAGGCCAGAGGAGGAAGAAGAGATTTGCTCCTTGTTTGTGTACTATTCTTATGAGGGCCACTCTAATAACACTTCTTCACCCTGGCAGCAGCAAATTCTTCCTACAAGATTCTTCCTGAATCCACTTGGAAGTTTGTTTGTTTTTGTTTCCCAACAACAGAATCAACTCCATGGCGCCTCCCTTGGAGATACCAGCAACCAGCTGGATGATATCTGCTCCTTAGAGGTCTGGGTTCTTCCTTCCTGCAAGCTGACAGACACTAGACATCCACACCAGACTTAGAGGTTTGAGTACTTCTACAGGACCCTTCTGCATTTCACCCTTTCCTCTGTTCCAGCCCTGCGTGTCAGATGCTTCCTGCTGTCTGTTGCTGCCTCCATGACAAAGGGTTTTATTTTTGTTTGTTTACCCTTACAGTTACCTGTTATAGTTAACAATTTTATACTTACTTAACCATTCTCTATATTAAAGTCTCTCAATAACTGGTTTCTGTTGCATTGAATAGATACTGACTAGTAGAGAAATTGGTATTAGGAAATAGATTCCAAAAGTTGAGATTGGAAAATTGGCTTGTGTCACTGAGTTTGAATGTGCTGAGTTCCTTGCCAATGGGAAATGTGATGCTATCAATTCGTGGCATGCCATGGCATTATAATTAATTAAATTATCACCTGTGCTTATTTGTGATGAAGTGCCAACTAAAGCAAGTGCCCTGGGGGCCCAAGTGATTGTTATACTTGACAATTATGGCAGTAATAGTGACTATAAAGGCTATGGTATGGGACAGATTCTTCTAATTGCATCAGAGTCCTTGCAGAAAGAGAGTGAAAAGGAGCTGGGTGTGGGGGCACAATTGTAATCCCAGCACTCGGGAGGCTGAGACAGGAGGACTGAGAGTTGGAGGCCAGCCTGGGCTACAATGGCAAGAGCATGACTGGAGCAGGGGGGAGGAAAAAAGAAAAGAAAGAATGAATGCAAAGAAAAATAAGAGAAAGAAAATGACAAGCTCAGGTTTTTAAATTCTTCAGCTCAAGTCATGATTATAGAACTGTAGAGTTTCCATGTTAGCCACCAAAGAATCTCTTATTTCTTATAGCCTGCAGAGTAAGTAGCTATGAATGAAACACAAAAATGGTGCATGCTGCAGAATTACCTCAGTTTAAGTCTTTCTTGTGATTGGGAAGGACTAGGACCTTAAAAATAGGACACCTGATTTGATTCTGACAAAGCTAAAAATCTTAAATTTCTTTTTCTCTGAGCTTCCCTTGTAAGCATTTTGTCTACTTGTGTTTGGATCTATGCCTTGCAAAGACATACCATTCTACTGAAGATGCACCCAGACTTCTCTTTGTGGCCACTAGACCCATAACTAGGGTTCAATACAGCACTTTAAGAGACAAGTACAGCACTGGAGGTGTGACTTAAGCAATAAAGTGCCTTCTTTGAAAGTGGGAAACCCACTCCCCCCCACCACATACACAAAATTACTGAAGCAAATACAAAGTCCGACTCATTAGGAAATAACTTCACACTAAAATAATTGCAAGATTTTGCTGACATGTAGACAGAAATTTGTGGAATACATGTGGGAATGGATTCTTAAGAGTGTTAGACCTATGAGGATGGAACACAATACTGGACTGAGCCAGGTTTATCCATGTGTACGCACTTAGCAGAGATTCTGAATTTAAAGTGTTACTTTATGCAGCCACAAGTGGCTCTAATGGTTTACTTGATTGGTTGACCAAAAATTTGACTCAATGGTATCATGTTTTATGAGAGGGATGGGAGAATGTCCCTGGAATGATGTAGAGAATGAAATTCAAAGAACTAGAGAGAAGGGGATGTTTTAATAAATTTATCATATGTGACCTAAACATATATCCCCCAAGAGGGCCCAGAGGACATTCTGTTCACTACAGCATTGAGAAATGCATTGGAGGCTTGGTGCTCTCCTCTGTAGTTCAGGAAGGATAGTTGGAAATTCTCCCATTGAGA